GTTGTTTTAGATATGTTTAGACAGTTGATGAACTTCAGCACTTCTCAAACTTCAGTATTTGTCAATGCAAGCACTAATGCAAGACCTACATTTAGATGATCGATCGTCATTTTCCAGCAAAATAACTTGAGAATTCTTCTCCCTTGTCCCGTGTGGAAAGAGCAACATTACCATTTTGAGTATCAAGATGAGGAATAACAGAATTCCGTGATTCACATAGCTTCTTTAGTGCATTCTCTCAAATTCTGTCCTCTGTTGCTTGTTTCTTTCCACTTCTTAGTTGTCCATCGCTGCGTCCTTGCCATGTTGACGACTGGTTGTAAGTTTTATTCCTCAATGACGGATTTTGTTTATATCTTCCCCAAGCGCGGTATTTGCCATCAGAGACTGTCCGACACTGTAATCTTAACCAAGATTGATCTCTTATTTTAGATTTATTTATTTATTGAAAAAAAAATCTGCCACGTCAACATCTATGGTCATTAACAAGGTAGAAATGAGTTAATGATTAGGGTAAAGTTACAAGTTGAACAGTACTAGAGAGTATATAGTAGTGAAAAGGGTAGAGAGGGGGAGCTGCTGGGGTATAGTATAGGGTAAAGTTTGTTTGAAGGGGAGTTTTAAGGAAGTAGGGAGCACTATGATAAAGTATTATGGCGAAAATAGCAAAAATGAATTAACGATTAGAATAAGTGGTCAGAACAAGAGGATGGAGAAAAGGGAAAGGAAAAGAAAAGACCATACAATAATACTTAAGGCGACGACTGAGGCCTCAGGCAGGGGTAACCCCCTACATTGGCCCTCGGTCGCCGTCTCCCCCCCCCCCCCCCCCCCCACGACAACGAGCAAGAGATTAGGGGGTCTCGTTTTCTTTATTAATTTATTTAGAGGTGTATTGAGGAATGCATTCTGTCTGGAGGCACTGAATGATTTCTGTCAGTCTCTGTGTCTGTTGGCTCGAGTCTCCAGATAGCTCCTCTCTCTGGTTTATGGTGTTTTATTTCATGCCAGTTGGCCTTGTCTCGTTTCCATTCAAGAAAATTGTTCGTCTCTGACCTTGCAGTATTCTATAACTGTTTATACACTACACAGTCCGTAGCTTTTCTATAGATGAATATTACTAGCTCCAAAAAAATCCTGAGCAGCAGGTGGGAAAATTTACATGGTTTTGTATTATTATTTATCTATTGAAAATGTTCTGCCGTGTTAACATCTAAGGCAAAGACCCAGTAAGTAAGTAGCGAAACGGGTTAGGAATGAGTTCATGATTAGGGCAAAGTTACAGTTTAAACAGTACTAGAGGATAGTACGGATAGTGAAAAGGGTAGAGAGGGGGCATAGCATAAGGTAAAAGTTGTTAGTAGGGGAGGAGTTAAGAGAGTAGGGAGCATTATGATAAAGTTAGAGGCGAAAAGGCATGTGTAAATGATTAGGATAAGTGGACAGAACAAGGGAGTGAAAGAGAGAAGGAAATGGAAAGGAGGAGAAGAGAAGACCATGCAAATTTAGTTAAGGCGAGGGCTGAGGTTCAAGGCAGGCGTGATCCCCACAATGGGCCCCACGACAACAAAGAACAAGGGGTTGGAGGGCATAGTTTTGTTGATTATACAGGGGTAAACATGTGTCAAGGAATGATAGAACCTAGTGCTGGTTAATGTTGCCATCGATGATGTGTTCACATTATGTGTTTTTTTCCCTAATTTGTCCAGGTTGGCCATGAGAAAATCTAGAAATGGCATTCCTTGTTTTGGAGGATAATTTTAGCTACAGCCGAGTGTTCATTTTCCTCTGGCTTCAACGATGTTTTAGAATATAATTTCGAGTTGTGAGCAACATCTATAATTTGGACGTTTCCTTATGGCACAGACAGTTCCACTGTTTCACGGTCCTTCCTGTGTCAACAGAAGAGCCTGGTATTGTCATTAAAAAAAAATGTCTCCCAGAAGAAAACGATGCCTACTCCGGTATAGATGAGAAATCGAGATGCGTTAGATGCCAACGGCTGTTGAGTACTGTTGTAGATAATGGTTAAAACAAATAAATGCGCTAGACATCAAAGGTCATATAGCACTATGATAAAATTATTGTGGCGAAAAGGGTAATCCAGTTAATGATTAGGATAAGTGGACATGAGGATATGAAGCATAGATGGAAAAGGAAAGAGGGAGAAGAAAAGACCATGAAAAATTAATTAAGGCAAGTGCTGGGGTCCAAGGCAGGAGTGACCCCCTACATTGACCCTCAATCTCCGTCTTCTAAGCCCCATCCCCTCCGACGACAACAACGAGCAAGGGATTGGGGGTAGTGAAAAAGGAAAGGGCTAAAGAAGGGAGAGCAAATCGAGTACGACGGGTATTTGTAAAAGGGAAGGTGTTGAGGGTATAGGGCGATTAAATGAGAAGTATCTATGTGTCTGAGGAAACGAGCAAACGAGCCATTATAAAAACAATCAGCGTATGAGAAGAATCCAGAAAATGAGATAAGGTGACAGGGGAAGATGATGAAGTATGAGGGCGAATGTCAGGAGGGGAGGGATGCAGAGAATAGCAGTGTTACGACATAAAGGAATAACGTGAGCATCCAGGTGGGGTAGAAAGAGGGAATAGTGGTACACATAGAAGAGAGGATGGGGTGTTTTGTGGGAGAGTGGGAGGAAGAGGGGTAGGGGGGGGATTTGAGGTGGAAGAGGACGGATATCGGCTAATACTTTGCTTTGAATGTAGAGCGAATAGGAATAGAGGGATTGGGAGGTTGATGAGGGAGCAGTGTTTTCTCTTGGGTCATGTTTGGGGACTTTGGACGTCTTCAAGAGTTTCTGGAGGGGGGGTTGGAAGGGGAAATCTGAGAAATAAAGGTTTTCTTGTTAGGAGGAGAAAATGGGATAGATGTCCAAGGAGAGGGTGTGATAGAAGATGGGATGGAACTCTACCTGTCTAGTGCGACAGGTAGAGTGAGAAGGGGCAGGCATCGAGGAAGTGGTAGAGATTCGAGTGTTTTTATTTAGACTGGAAAAGGAATTTGACTAGGGGGAGAGGGAGTAGAGGTAGGATGTTCGGAGTAGAGAGAAGAGATACTGGGGCGATCCCGAGACATCTTGAGATGGGAGGGGGTCGGAACGAAGGGTAGTTTTGGAATAGGTAGAAAGAGAAAGTACTCATCGACGTGCTCCCGGTCTGGCCTCACATAGAGTGAGGCCTAGTTTGAATCAGAGAGTTGCTACCTCGGAATCAAGCTTCTGGGCAGGAGAGTTCCAATAAATACGTTATGGGAGCCACTACACTTCGCTCATGTGCGTGACTGAGCAGAGCAATTTTAACTGTCATGACCAGGCTGGGCATATAGAGAGCAGTAGGCTGTGGAGTGAATTTGTGGCTGGGTGGCCATAACGTCAACATTTCTGACAATGACGGGGAGGGGGTCGACATGGTCGAACAGGGCAGGACACTCCACCAATATAAGCTTTATCGGGGTGGTCATGTCTACGGAAGCTAATCTTGGCAATATTGTTGTAGAATATACGTTGGCCTCTGAGAGGGATTGTGTAGCACTGTACTGCTACTGCACCATAGTCGACGAGGCAGGCGAGCATGTCATTTTCACAGTCTGACCAGTCCTTGTCGTAGACAGGACAATCAGTCGGGGAGGCAAAAACATTTCCGGTAAAAATATTAAGGGATGAGTGAGTTGGGCAGGAATAAGTTGCCAGGTTAGTTAGTGTACGAGTTTGGGACTTTGATGTAACTGTGACCAGGCGTGAACGATCGGAACAACTGCGAAAGGAAACTTTGAGAAGGTTATTATCAGATTAAGGGGTTATAGGGGGAATCACAAACAATCGATCCCCCTCGGCTAGGCGAAAAAGGGTACTCAGGTTTGTAGAGGTGGATGTAGTTTATAAGACGGGAGGAAGATGGGATAGTGCTTGTTCTTCTTGTACAACAAGAAGAATGAAAAGTAGTAGGGGTGGGGGAGACAATGAAGACTGTGCAGTAAGAGATGGAGTGAAGGATGTTGAGAGACATTCTGAAAGTTGAGTAATGACCTGGGTGGATGACTCAGAATGGATAGAGTTGACAGCAAGCACCGAGGAGGGAGCATTGGTATCAATGGACGGAGCCGTGATAAAAGAAGAGGAAGGAGTTGGAAAAACAGAGAAATCAAATGTAGACAGGCTACTTGACGAAGGCACAAGGCCTAATGCCCCTAAAAAGTGTAAAAAATCTTCAATGAAAATGAAAGTCATTCATTGGCTATGGTGTGCCTGAATAAGTAGGCAAGAGAAACGGTCAACCCTTCAGGGTCCCATACGGGTAAGGGCTAGGTAATTAACCAAGGCAATACTGCGCCCATGGCATCCGGAGGCCGTTCAGCCTTTCATCCTTTTAGCATAGCTCTCACACCTTAGGAAGTGGACAGGTGATGAAGAAGAGAAGGAAAAGGAAAGGGGATGAAAAGACCATGCAAAATTAGTTGAGGCGAGGGCTGAGGTCTAAGGTACGAGTGATCCCTACATTGGGCCTCAAGTCTCCGTCTCCTAAGCCCCCCCATGACAACAATGAGCAAAGGACTGGAGGGGTTCTGTAGTCAAAGACAAAGTTACCAGGTAAAAACAAACAAATGTGCTATATAGTTAAAGACAAACAAAATTCATTTCAATATTACATCTTTTACACAGTCCTGGATTGCCACTTGCCACTCGATTGATACTGAAGTGCTCAGATATAAAAAGGGTAACTGGCTCCCTTGTATTACATATATAATTTTGTACTTTCTCTATCTCACTCTCTGTAGTTAAAAACTGATTTTTGGCAGTATCATTTTCTAGAAAGACAAATTGATATACTGTGCAGTCCAAGTAAGAATAAATTGTATTTTTCTTTTTCTTTTCTTTTTTTTTGCCAGAAATAATAGTTTTTCTATTTTCTTCATGTTTTTTTACCAGTGCACCATTCTTACACCAAAATATAATACTTGAACACAAGGAAACAAAAACAAGGATAAACAAATGTTAAGACTAGGTATATTTATAAGGAAGCTTTGACATACAATAATAAGAGATAAATAGGTATAAGCTTATTATTTTGCATTGACTTTGCTTTACAACTTACTGGTCATACAGCTGGGTTTCAAATTTGGCGTGTTAAAAAGTGCCGCTAACAGTACCAGCTTTCTGGAAATTTTTAAGTTAACATCTGTTGAAGAATTTTTTCCTGTACTTTTTAAAAAAATCTTTTGTTTACACCCTATATGTCATTAAATAGAAATATGGTGACATTTACAAAGGCAATTACAGTGCCTTGCACAAAATACAAACCCCCCTGAAAATAATCTGAAAACCATATTTATGAAGTTTCTACATACTCTTCCTTAAAAAATACTATTCAAGTTCAAAATACAATTACAATGTGGCAAAGCTCTGGCAGCTTTTTTTTCCTTTTTTCTTCTGTAAGACAGTTCCTTATCATCATACTAAGCATATACAATATGTAGACAGAACAATATACAATATGAAGGCACCATCCTGAACATACATCTTTTTCTTGCAATATTTTCTATTTATGCACAAGGGAAGGGATGAAAAAAGGGAAGATTGTTGACAGCAGAGGAGGCACTCTTTAGAAATAAAAGCCACAGGAGAAAACAATGTATAATAATAAATCAAAACCGTTACATTCAATTAACAAAGGCTGTCTCAAATAAGATACAAGGGCATATGATGGAAAAATGCTTGCATGGATCAAACCATTATGAAGAACATGCATCCTGTGGTGCAGAAGTAGGGTGATTTAACATACAAACCTGAAGAATTCTGGCTACAAAATGCTACAGCATGGGGAAATTTAGAAAGAAAATTCTACAAACTTCACATTATCAAATATAAGAGACCACCATATTCCCTCAAGCTTTTTACTGAATTCTAAAATCTAAAGTCAGGAGATCCTGTGCTTTAAATACTGTAGAATTTAATAATAATAATAATATCAACTCAATATAGATGCTACTTTGTGTGTATTTAAAAAAAGTATGTACACCAAAACAATCCCTAGTGATGAGCATATACACCCTTTCAACATCTCGTGAAAGCATCTTCTCCAGCTGCACACAGGATAACTTGCAACTGATGACATGACATTTTAGAAAACTTTCTCATGTACAGGCCTATATTCTTGATAAATGCAGCACTGATTTTTCTGATACATAAAACAATTTAACTTGCAAGGAAGCAGAATAAGTGTTTCCTAGTCTCTTAATACTTTCTAAAAATACCAAAATAACATGAAAATTAATTAATAAAACTTCATATAATACTTAACCATATTAATGATTATTATTTATAGTATTATAATAATAATAATAATAATAAAAAAAAAATAACGATAATAGTAATAACAACAGCAATGTTAAGAATGCTAACAACAATACTAAGAATAAAAGCAAAGCTTAAAGGCCAACTATCTGGTAACTTTTGGTGAACTGAGAGAAAAAAAAATGGTCTGGAACTGCATACACTTCAGGCACCAGTTCAAAAATTAGTGAGTGCTCATTTTTTATATTCCCATCATTCTTCTTTTACTGTGAAAACAAAGTGTAGCTTCCTCCTCTTACACACAATGCCTCATGTTTTTTGTTTTATTACTTTTCTTTCAGTTTTAAGACCAACTGCAAACTAGCCAGTAATATTCTTTTGGACTGCTTTCCTTGGCATCTCCACTGCTAATTGGACTGAGTGCCAAGGAAATAGAAAAGTAAGGAAAAAATTCCAAAATAGGCCCACGATAATGCTATGGAAATAATAAATCAATCATAAGGTTATTATCACATACATAGTGAAAGCCAAATTCCTGTAAAATCTGGACAAATGCTGCATAACTGGCACCCAGAAACCATCCACCTGTCAACACTAAATCAAATCCAAAGATTTTTATGATCATAACTTGAAAAATATATTGACTATACACATTAATATTATCTTTGCTATCATTACTATTATTAATTCCAACTTTGGTCATACTATGAACTATGAAAAACAAGTCCTTAAAGAAAAAGGACTTATCAATTCACTCACACCACTTTCACTTCTTTTCTTTTCTTTAACAAGAAAGTCATTGAAACCACATACGCCACACCTTACAATGCCCCAGCTCCAATAACATCCAATGAGCTCCCTTAGTGTCAAATTTCTCAGTCTCAGTAACTGCAGTGTACAGCCATTCTTCTGTAAAGTAATTTACTATCACAGAGCTTTCTTAAGGGGTCAAGGTGTCTGAGTGTGATGAGTCTACCAAAAGGTCTTTTCCACATTCAGGGTGGAAGCAAAATGAAAATAACAATGATAGTTATATTTAAAACATATACGAATGAAGTAGAAATATAATAATCAAAATAGTAATATTGAAAGTGCAAACAAAGGAGAAGGAAAAAAAAAAAGTATGTAACAAGACTTTAAACTGACATCATAGACACTACATATCCCTGCAAAAGTTTCCATCAATGCTGTACACAAGTAGAGGCAAAAAATCAATTAACTATTCTCAACAACTTCTTCCTGGTAGGTATAGTATTATTATCCTTAGGTCTTAAAATTTTTTGATAGCATTTTCCCTTATCCAGACTATCTTTTACATGAAAGAAAGAAAAAAATGATATGGGGAAGAAATTAAAATCCCTACTCAATATGAGTAAAATCACTGAGATGACAATGTCAGATGCTGTTGTGACTGGTTATTCTATATAAATATATTTCCTTTACATAATTAATCCTAATTATCTTTCTGCTCTAGGTTTGGAAAGTTGTCAAAAGAAAAGTCATACACACATTGAAAAAAAAAAAAAAAAAAAAAATAATAATAATGAAAAACACACAGGCAAATGCAAGACAGACAGGAAAGGGAAGAAACCATTACACAAGAAAAGAAAAGGAAAACAGGAAGAAACAAATGCTACGAGCATCTACACATGCACTCACCTCGTCTCATTCACTCACACACAACACACACACCATCCTCTCTTAATGCCATGACAGAGCAATTGAGATATGAGCTGGACTTCCAACTGCTTCCTTATCAACAATGCATCAATATTCAATACAACAATAAGGACTTCCTAACCTTGGTGGAATTAAATAACCAACAAACCCCCAAAGTAGACAGAGATATTTCTGATTGGAAATCATAAGCTCTAGTCATTTTTATTCTTGTTTACACATAGAAATTAAACTAATTTTATAATAAAGTAATTATATGAAAAAAGGGGGATCACTGAGACTGTACATCTTTCTATTACATTTTTCTATATGTTTTTTTTATATCATTTGTGCTTCACTCACTGATTCAATTCTTTAAACATCAACTCATTAGGACTGGCTACTTCCTGATTGGACATTCATACACTGTAGGTTAATTTTTGTTAAATATACTGTTATGAAATCTGAATTTTAAATGATCTGCCGTCTCCATTCCATTTCCATCACCATCCTCATCACATGAATCCTCAAAATCACTGGTATTCACTGCGTCCTCTTAAGTTCTTAAAGCGAAACCAGTGACTACATTCCGCTGCTTACCACTGCCTTGGGCTTCAGCAGTATAGGCCACAGGCTGACTGCTTCAGTGGGGGTGCACAGATATGAGGGGTATGCACTGTTTTTCTTAAAATGTTTCATATTCATGGCCCTCAGATTTGGGATGCATTGTGTAATGTCAACCACCATTTCCCTAATGCAGGTTCTGGAACTGACTACCTGCCTCATGTCATTCTCAAAAATATTACCACACCAATAGCACTCTTTGTTTTATGTTCAAGTTTGCATGTGTATGTCTTTCTTTCTCTTTCTCTCTCTCTCTCTCCGAATAAACAACACACAAGTGCATCATAATTAGTATACATACATTCATAATATGATAAAAGATAAAAAAAAAAAAAAAAAAAAAAAAAAAAAAAAAGAGAAAATCTGATATTCAACAAATGCTATGAAAAAAATTATACAATCATTTTCCATATCACTTAAATGATTAATGTGTTACAAACAGTCCCTCTTGTTCCCCCTCAATCCATATGCCTAGTTGTCTATTCCTGGCGCCTCTCAACACCACGAGAAGAATGGACTCTTTTCCTGGAATGACTGCGTGAAGGTGTCACTGAAGGAGCGGAAACGGGCGGTTGTTCCCACTCTTCCTTTCGACCTGGGGGTGGAAAGGTGGGAAAAGAACGTGGATGAGAATGCGTAGGATGTAGACAAGGAGGAGAAGGAGAAAAGAATAGTTAGAAAAAAAAAGAAGCTTTTTTTTACAAAATGCACAAGATCCAATATCTTTATACATACTTCATAAAATTACTCATATTTTTAACATTAGAGAAAGCACCCACCTGACAAAAAAAAAGAAGGTATATATATATATATATATATATATATATATATATATATATATATATATATATATATATATATATATATATATATATATATACACACACACACACACACATATAAGAAAAAAATAAATAAAAGAAAGTTGCTTTCAAGAGAGATGTTAACCTACAATAACAGTCCAAAATCTGGTCAACATACCTCTCCACTATGACAGCTGGCATCTGGACCAGTTGCACAGGACTCTTGCCATCTCTAAGGGCCTGTGTCAGGTTCAGTATCTGTCCTCGCATTACAGACATCTGGCGCTCAAATATGTGTCGATCAAAGCCTTTGTCAGTCTGCAAGATTTTTTTTGTGTGTGTGATTAGTAACTGAGCAGAATGGATTTTTTTCCATATCTAAATTAAAATTTTAATCCACAAATGTTTGCACAGACACTCATTTACATGTATTCCTTTGTTATTTCTTATGACACTACATCAAATTAGTTTTTCACCTGTAATTCTAAGAATGTAAAATAATCTAGTTATGGAAAAATATGAGAAAACATGGAAAGGGGGAGGGGGGGGGAATAGAAGCTAATATGTACACAAAAGTGAGAACCACTAGAAGACCCAGAATAAGAATAAGGAGAATAAGAATAAGAAGGCAAAAGCAGAAAATATCCATTCCCTTTCCCTGTATCTCACCTGGAAAAGATTATACATGTCATCACAGAGCTCCTGCACAAAGTTCATGTCTGAGAGGAGGGGGAGCACCAGGTCGCGTGTCTCCTGGCTAAAGGAGACCTTGGCCCAAGGAAGCCATGCCCAATGGTAGGGATACGCCCGCCAAGAGTCTGGGTGCTTGAAGGGGAATGCCAGACCATTGTCAATAGCTGCTACTTTCACTTCTGGGGGTTTCACGAGAGACCAGTCCTAGAGGGGGAAAGGAGGCAGGAAGATGAGTTGCAGCTTGAGGTTTCCTTTCTCTGCTTAGCTATTGAATGCAATCTCATTACTACTGGTAATTATGTAAATGGAATGCATTTTGCTCTTTACTTGTATATCTTTTTCAATAATAAAATAGTACTTAGTCATCATGGACTGAAGTTTTCCCTCGGGATCTAGTCATTATAATATAATCTTTATAAAAGTACTGATAATTCAATGTAAAGGAAACTATTAATTATTAACCCAAATCCAACAGGTATGGCATGTATGTGCATGCCATGTCCACTGTGAACTTAATTTATTAATGGTTTTTAAAAATAGATGGCTACACTTGTACTAAGTCACCAATGAGCCAATTACGAGTACTGCCTGTCTCACCCATTTACCCTTTTCCCTGATTAACAAAAATCTTATTTTGCTGTTGCTAATGTATAACAATATAGTAATTTTAATGTCTATAATAAAAATAACACCATCGATATTCATAGCATTAGTAAAAAATATGTTTTTCCCGCCAATTCAAGGAAAGGTGAAAATAGGTAACATTACAAGGTCTACTAATTGACCCCTTTGTGGCTAAGTAATAGCAGAGCCATCTATGTGGAGAGACATTTCACAAAAAAAATTAAAAATGAGCACAGCATTTTCCCTGGTTAATACAACAGACCTTAAAAAAAGGGGTGATAAAAAAAAATCTGTTTCCTAACCTCTCCATCTCCCTGGTCATCCAATTCTGGCTTGTCATACTTAATGAGCCAATTGTCGTTGCCACGGTCCGTGTTTCGGATGATGTAATCGAGGATGACCAAACGCTCAAACTGGAGCTGGAACTGCCGGCTGGTAGTTTCTCCTAAGGGCTCTGCTTCAAACCTCCGCAGCCAGTAGTCTGCATCTTTGAAACCCTGAGTGGAAAGAGAGGAGGGTAGTCCCTTTAGAGATTCCAGTAATGACTGTAACACACAAAATGAAAACAGAAAAGGGGAATGTATAAATGGCAAATATGTAGGTAAACAAATGCCCAAAAGATCAGTATAAAAGCAACCATCAACGCAAGAGAGTGCACAAACCTCAACAAACAGCTGGAAGGAGCCGACTTTGGGAGGAAGACCGATCCTGTGGAAGTGTCTCCCTACTTTTGGAAATCTCTCAGACACCAATTTCTTGGCTCTCGACTTTTCTCTGTCTATCCTTGTGTAATTAAAGGTTTCACTAGCTAATTTGACTACCTAGAAAATTGGAAAAAGAAGAAATAAGCATCACTGATTTCATGTGCATTTCCATTACTCTGCTTCTTGAACCCCTTGTGACTGTAACTATTAAAAAACAGCCAAACTTTTATTTCCAAGGAAGGTAAATTTTAAGAATTAAAGTTCACATATTATCAGCTTTACCTAAGAATAATAATGCACAAGCTACTCATTTACCTTTCATTTCAAATATCAATATTCAAAAGGGAAATTGAGATTCCCAATAAACAATCAATCAATGTGGATTACAAGTTCAAAGAACTCTTTACTTTAGGGAGTGGCAAAAAGTAAACAAAATTATTAAATAACTGTAAGAACATAAAAATGCTAAACATATATCAAATAACTTATAGTAAATAAGTACGAAGTAGTAAATGAACCTTAAAAAACACAACAAAAAACAATAATCCACATAAATAGCCCCCATCCCTCACCCTAGTTTTAGGAACAACGTTCAGCTGCAACTTCTGGTCAACAAGGGATGCTCCCGCCTCGGATAAGTAGCCCTGGTTGGGCACAAGGCAAGACCGCCCAAAACAGCATGGGCAGCACACCTTATGCAACCACTTGGTCCACTTGGGATTAAGGCGACCATATGGCTCCTCGTCCTTCGGCTTGTACACAGCAATGACTTTCTGCTGGGAGAGAGGGCGATGAGTGGGGGGAGAGAAAGTTGAAAAAATGCTTGTATTGTGTGTTTGTGTAGGTGCCAAACTAGTGTACTTATGGTGATAATGATAATGATAATGATCATGATAATGATAATGATAATAATAATAATGATAATAATAATAATAATAATAATGATAATAATAATAATAGTAATAACAATATTATTATTATTTTAAAACAATTGTTTTTAGTGAGGAGACAAACTTTTGTAATTTTAAATTGTGGTTGTTTGTTGACTGAGCTTCTTGACTACCTATGTTCAAGGAATGGCTTGAGGACTTAAATACAGGTCAGCAAGATTACTAGCTAAGAATGCCATCATTTTAAAGCACAGTGAGTGAGTGAGTGAGTGAATGAGTATCTGTGTTTCTACGTCTGCATGTCTGTGGTATGTGTCCGCATATTTACAGAGCGAGGTTAAGCTAGGATTTTCATGCTGGCAGAACTAGCCTCAAGTATTTTTAATAGCATTACTTTGCAAAATATTTACAAATGACAATGACATTGTACTATCCATGCTGCGCTTCAAGCTATGGGGCTGTCTTCTCCCCAATACCTGAAGGCTCTAGCTACAAGGTCCATATTTGCAGGAAAAAACCCTCTTTCTAACTTCTGGTTGAGTCAGATTAGAGAGAAAACATTTTTTTTATATATAATTTTAGTAAAAATTAAATAACTTTACTAAATTAAAGGCAACAATGAAATAAAAACAATGATAAAAAATATTTAAATGACTATTAACCCATTGCCGCTGGGGATGGCATGTACGTACAATGCCATGCCCACTGTGAGTCGACTTGTTTGATTGTTTTAACACACAGATGGCTACACTTGTACTAAGTCACCAATGAGCCAATTACAAGTACTGCCTGTCTCGCCCGTTCACCCTTTTCATCGATTGATGAAAATATTTAACGTAATCCTAATTTGCTGTTAAAAATAACACCATCTATATTTATAACACTATTAAGAATACGTTTTTTCCCGCCAATTCAAGGAAAGGTGAAATCAGGACTAGCAGAGCGATCTATGTACAGAGATATTTCACAAAAATATAAAAAATGAGTACTACATTTCCCCGGCAGCAATGGGTTAATCAATAAATGAATGAACAAGTAAAACTTCTTATGGCCAAGAATTCTTTCATGGACACGTATCACAAAAAAAATCAATCAATCATCAAAGAAAAGACTCTCTGCTTTGTGCCTGATAATAACAAATAATGCAATTACAATTTACAAAACAAATTCAGAACAAAAAATCTCAATATAATAGCAATCATCCCCCGTTATCATAACATGACTTAATATGCGTGCGGAGATCAGACCTACCCCATTGCTGTTTTTGACGAAGTAGCTCCCACTGGAGCCCTGGTATATCCTCTCTGGATAAATCCCACTTTCAATGGCTGTTTCTGCTTGTCTTACTAAGTCTGTAAAGTGTGGGTCATCTGGAAAGAGAAAAAAAAAACACATTAGGAATGCATACTCCAAGAAGATAGAAAAAAGAGAGAAAAAGGAAAGTTCTGGCCAAAAAAAAGACCCTTCAAAATAGTTAAAGTCTGGCCTCCAACCTTCTCTATATAACAATGCACATCAATTTCTTCACTGTAGGCCAAAAATCAGCAACAACGATTTTTCCTATTTTTATTAACACCAATAATCATGGTTGTCTCTCCCATATGGTGGAGAGGGAGAGAGGGAGAGGAGAGGGAGAGAGGGAGAGGGGAAGGGAGAGAGAGGGAGAGGGGAAGGGAGAGAGAGGGAGAGGGGAAGGGAGAGAGAGGGAGAGGGGAAGGGAGAGAGAGGGAGAGGGGAAGGGAGAGAGAGAGGGAGAGGGGGAGGGAGAGAGAGAGGGAGAGGGGGAGGGAGAGAGAGAGAGAGAGAGGGAGGGGAGGGAGAGGGGGAGGGAGAGAGAGGGAGAGGGGGAGGGAGAGAGAGGGAGAGGGGGAGGGAGAGAGAGGGGGAGGGAGAGAGAGGGAGGGGAGGGAGAGAGAGGGAGGGGAGGGAGGGAAGGGAGGGGAGGGGAGGGGAGGGAGAGAGAGAGGGAGAGGGAGAGAGAGAGGGAGAGAGAAGAAGAGAGAGAGGGAGGGAGGGAGGGAAAGAGGGAGGGAAAGAGGGAAAGAGGGAGGGAAAGAGGGAAAGAGGAAGGGAGAGGAGGGAGGGAAGGAGAGAGATTGATGCAGGGATTATCATGAAGATTATTATATTGCTAGGAAAAAAAAAAAAAAAACTCAATATAAGCAACACCTCTAAATCCTCCCACTCTCATTTCATCAATATTTAATTTTGTGATCTGATTTCCACAATCAGATTCCTCCCCCCCATTATATAAATATTAAATCAAGGTAATGAAACTACTACATTACTATCCACATATACAAGGAAAAATAAATATTCTAAAAGTGCTGGTAAATTTTCAAATCTATGACAGGTTATGACAGAAGCTGATTAGAATTAGGTGATAAGATTACCAAAGTAAAGATAACAAGATGCAAGTTTCACAGCAATAGAGAGGGGGAGGCAGGGGGAGGAGAGAGAGGGGGAAGGAGGGAGAGGGAGGGAGAGGGAGGGAGAGGGAGGGGAGAGAGGGAGGGAGAGAGGGGAGAGAGGGGAGAGAGGGGAGAGAGGGGAGAGAGTGGGAGAGAGAAAGAACAGAGGTAGAGAGGTAGAGAAGAAGAGAGGAAGAGTGAATGAGTGAAAGAGAGAAAGAAAAACTGGAACAGTTACCACCTTTTTTTTATCTTTCTTTTTTTTTTTACAAAGCAACATCTCTTCTTAAACAAATACTGAATATGGAAGAAAAAATATATAAATACATAGGGAATATAAACATTATTAATAAACATTATATATTATACTACTCTCTCATACAAAGGTACACCTAAAGTCTTCTAGCTTTTAAATAAAAAAAGGGATCAAAAGCATTTTTGAAACCCTTCTAATCCTAGAGATCATCAAACGTTGATCCCCATCTCAAGAATGATCCAAAGACTTCACTTCATGTTGCCAGGTTTGGCACTTACAGACATGCCATGCTCACTGTGAGTTCAGTTTATATTTCTTTACAAACAGATGGCTCTATAAGTACCTAGACATGATAATATTAATGTGATAAGTATCAGTAGTGACTTTTAAAAATATATAATAATAATAATAATAATAATAATAATAATAATAACATCAACAATAAAAAATCCCAAAAACTCAAGGAAAGGTGAAATCATGTGAGGTTAGGTGGTCTACTGACTGACTAGATTTTCCAGGAGGCATTGGGTGAAAAGACCCCAACACAAGCTATTCTTCTGTTACATCAAATCTCCACCTACAAAATTCAAGTTACTCCTTCTGGATGACATGTGGTTTATATCTTGGCTGACTTGGGTTTGGCTTCATGGGACGTGCTATTCCTGTTAGGGCTGACTTGGTCACAGCTACAGATTGCCATATGGCACTCTCCCAGTGTGACTGTCCTGAAGTTTGACACACAAAAGGGAAGTACTAGCACCATGGGAGTAGCAGCTTTGAATATAAACTGCATACATTTTCTAATTTTGTGAGATAAGGATTTGTGATAGTGAAAGAAAATCCTGTTTTTCTCCCTAAATATCATGCCTCTCTGGATAAGCAAAAACATTAAAATCATGATTGGATACAAGTGGTACAAATAGAAATCTTATTGTTATGTTGGTGCTGCGCAGTAAGTGCAACACAACAACCAAGTCTGAAATAGGCCAAGCAAGCAAGCCGAGCTGGCCATGCACACTGCCTGGCACAGATGCCAAGCACACCCCAAATTCTCCTGGAAGCTTTGGGTTAACAAAATCTCCCTTTCCACCTTCCCTTTTCTTTGTGCCTTTCCTCTCTATATAATCTTCCCTTAAAATGCCCTTTAATGTTACCCTAATCTGAACATATACTTATTTGTCAATTCTTGTGATTGAGTATATGCAATAATCCATACTGCTAAAAGAAAAATATTCATAGAGGAAATTATTAAAATATAAAGCAATAAAAAAAAAAAATCATATTACAAAATAATGACATGTATTTCTGACAAAGATGTAACTGAAATTGGTTAAACATTGAAACCGGTTGAATTATGAAGATATTCATTTTCATTCAGATCTTTTCAATATGCAAAGCCTAATGAAACATTCTCCATCCACTGCTATGCACAGTTCTAATCCCTAATCACTTGCATATTTCCAAACCCACACACCTGGACACCTATCAAGCAATTAACCTTATGCCAACAGGTATGGCATGTATGTACATATCATACCCACTGAGTTTACTTTATTATTGTTTTTATTACACATAGATGGCTAAACTTGTAATAAGTCACCAATTAGCCAATTATGAGTAATGAATGTTTCTCCCATTTACCCGTTTCCTTGATTTAAAGAAATATTTTGTGTTATTTTATTTTGCTGTTCCTAATGTTTATAACATTATAAAATTATAACGTCTATAATAAAAGCAACACCAGTGATATTCATAGCATTATTAAAAAAAAAAAAAAAAAAAAAAAAAAAAAAAAAAAAAAAAAAAAAAAAAAAAATTGCCCACCAATTCAGGGAAAGGTGAAAGCAGGTAAGGTCACAAAGTCTACTAACTGGTTCCTGTATGGCTAAGCACTGGCAGAGACATTTCAAAGAAAAATAAAAAATGAGCACAGCATTTTTCCGGTGCCACTGGGTTAAAATACTTATGAAACAATTTGCCACATCCATCCTTATCACATCAAGAACGTTCAGTTCATTTGCACCTTTCCTGCCTTATGACTCTTGCTTCTGTCACAAATACATATATGTGTACGTGTGTAAATATGCGTGTGTAAATATGTGTATGTATGTATGTATATACATACATACATACACATATAAATACATATACATACATACATATGAATACATATACATACATACATATGAATACATATACATACATATAAATACATATATACATACATATAAATACATATATACATACATATAAATACATATATACATACATATAAATACATATATACATACATATAAATACATATATACATACATATAAATACATATATACATACATATAAATACATATATACATACATATAAATACATATATACATACATATAAATACATATATACATACATATAAATACATATATACATACATATAAATACATATATACATACATATAAATACATATATACATACATATAAATACATATATACATACATATAAATACATATATACATATATATACACATATATACATATA